GGCTTCTACCACCGAGCCACACTCTGGGCCCAACAGAAATGACTTGGTAGATGAGCATCAGATGAAGATGAGCTGAAGACAGGTGGGTTCAGATGGCTGTAGAATGAGAATATTTGTCCTAGGATCAATGTGCATTTGTCAAAGACATTCTTTCCTATGTTGAGGGTTCTGCTGAGACCTAGTCAAGAGACTTTAGGAAAGTCAGAAAGCCTTTCTGAGGCCTCAATTTCTTCATCTGAAAATGGAAACCCTGGACATGCTCTTTGAGACTTCATCCAACTATGAAATTTTGAGTCTCATGAAAAATCTCTTCTTGAAACTCTTGAAAATTAATCTTAGGTGGTCTCTGTCTATAATTAGAACTGGGGTTGATAGGCACAAACCTTGATTGTGCTTGAAAATATCATCCCATGGTATTTTCTTCTTCTGGGAAAAGAACCAAAACTCTAAAAAAATAATACATTATACTTTCTATCTTTAATACCACTTATAAATAACTGCCTTTACTTTGTTGCTGGGTAACTGTGACCCACAAGAGAAGCCACAGTCCTCTCATTTTGGAATTTCCCCCATAATCCCATAGGGCAGCTAGAATAGAGTTGATGGAAGACTTAGTCAAAAATAAGGTTTTTTTTGAGCACATCTTATTGTTAAAACCATGCTGCTGCCTTTTCCGAAGAAAAGGAAAAAGTCTGGTATATGCCTACCATTACAGTTACCAACTGACCTATTCATTAGTGCTTATCAAAAAAAAACCTTCTTGAGTACCTCTAATCAGTGTTATGTATCAGAATAAGATTTGGATAGTGTGAAGATTGAGTGACCTAATGACCACCCTAGTTTGCCTGGATTTTCCCCAAAAAAGTCCCACATTGTGGGAATCCCTAGGTCTCAGGCCACCTGGAATGGTTGGGCACCCTTTGAAGATGCTTTCAAGTCCCAGAACTCAAAACCATCTTTTACTATGTCTTAACCCTTAACACCCCAGGAGGCTCTTGGAAAGGGCATATAAAGAAGAAACAGCAGTGAAGGTGAGAGATTCACTAGTTGTTATTGTGCTGGGCTAATCTTGATACTTCCATAGAGGGCTCTGGTAAGGCTATAATGTGGGGTAAACGGACCAGTCTAAAGACCAAGGGCCTTTATCTTGTTCTTTCAACCCACATTTTAAGATCTTAGAAGCTAAGATCCTTTGGCGTGAAGTAAAAGTAGACACAGCAGAAGACTGAAGCCAAGATGGAGCTAAGTCTATATGCAAGAAAGAAGAGAAAGATGGCTGGTCTTCCGGGCTTTGGCTCAATTTTTTTCTCCTAGTTCATGGAAATTTGATGCAGAAGACAAATCCACGTGTATGTGGTGTTTTATTGCTGAATGGCTCTTCTTATTGCTAACATGGCATAATCAGTGACCTGGAATATTAATGGCAGCTCTGACCTAGGAGTGAGCTAGGAGTGGAAGAAGAGAGGGAACCCTTCCCCACCACAAGGCTAACAAGAGGCATGGAAGTGTCTATGTGTATATATGTGGAACCACTATAAGAAATTAATTTTTTAAATCAAAGCTTATGCAAAGTAATAGAAGCCTTTTTAGTTTCTTTAGTAGACAATTTATTTTGATAAACTTGCTCAATAACAAAAATACAAGTGAAGAAAATTATGTTCATTTTATACAGTTGTATTAACAATTGTTTTGAAACTATTAATTGAAAAAATGTCAAAACCAATTAGAAAACAATTCTTAATAAAGTTTGGGATAATATACAGACCTTAATCACAAACTTTAAAATCTCTTGAGGTGATACAACTACAAGTCCTGTGTAGTGAATTCTACCTACACAGGCCACTTTTTTCCTTCATGTATTTTATCCTTCAAAATTTTTCTGAAAGACAGCTTACTGTTTTGAACTGTGAATGCATATTTAATTTTTAAAAGAAGATCAAAGTGGGTTGATAAAGCGGTTTCTATAGTAAGAGTAATTTGTGTCTAGTAGTCTTATAATAAAGACAAATTAAATGCAACATGTTCTTCCCATGAAGCCCACGATGCAAAATAATAGCTAACAATATATCCAAAGTTACCTTTCAATACTTTTTTTCTGGGCCTTTCTCTAAATCAATAGATTGTTTGTCACCAGGACTATTTAGTATTTCACTTAAGAGATTMAACAGTGACTTCATAGAACATCAAGTGGAGATATCAAAGCTTTAGGCAAGAGGGTAAAAACCAATAGTGTTTTGGTCATCTAGAACATTAAAAAGAAAAAAAAAAGCCATCCTTCAAAAACAAAACAGAAAATAGGTTAAGAGGTGGACAAGTCAGAAAAATCACACTCACACGTTAACAACATAGAACATGGATTACCTTTGGAAAGAATCATACTGAAATGTTTACTTTTAATGAACTTAATATTTTTATGTTTACAGGTGTCTAGGCATGTTCAATAGGAGCTTCCAAAAATTTTCAAACTAATTCAGTCTTGTGCAAATAAAACAAAAAGATAGTTTTCAGCATTTTACAGTGATATTCTTAGGTATGAGAAGAACGTACACTCTAAAAACAATGTAACAGACAAAAGTTGGACAAATGATTGCACCATAAAACCGTGTTTTATATACAGTTTACAAGATATGATATCCTGCTATAAATTAATACTGTACTATATAGTACTTATTATAGTGACCTTTTTAAAAGCAACTGCTGACAGTTGACTATCTTTTCACTTACAGGATTTATAGAAAGTTATATGAATGAGTCCATTTCAATGTTTGGTCTGGAAGAGTACAAAGACTTGACCTCACATACTACTCAATGAGATGGTCTTAATCCTGGGTTAGCATGCAGACTGGCTAGAGGAACTTTCCCTCTATCAGTCCTTTATGCACTGGACCTCCAAGACAATGATGATATCAAGGACAATTTAATGGTTTGGGTAATAGATACAAATAAAACCTTAAATTTTGTAATCTTATATGCAATACCACTGTAAGTGAAAGAAGTAAACAGTGGGGAAATTCTTAGCAGCTGAGAAACTTTCTCTCCCCATGCTCATGATCCAGTTAAAAATATTTTGAGAAACTATTTACAATAAAATCCATCTTTTGGAAGAGAAAATCTCTTGGTTATACCATAAATTAATTTGAACCATACTTTGCTAACACTATCTCAGTGGTATAATGGTGACAACCAAAGCTTTCCTTTAAAGTGTTCCCTTTGATTTGAGGACCTGTCAAATCACAATGGGAAATGCAATCCCAAATGTCCACATGTGTCCGGTGGTACTCTTAGAATTGACTAGACATCACAATACGTGGGGAATGGTCTCCCTTGGGTTTTCCAATGGGTTTTTTTTTTTTTTTTTAACCTGGGGAAGGTAAAAAGGAAAAGTATGACATTCCCTCAGAACGCTCAAGGAACACACCCAGGGGTGGTCCAACACCCCAGCCCATTGTTGACTCAAGAGTGAGCTGAAAATGGGGTTTTCATTCACAATGAAACACTGTAGAATTAACAGTAAGATATATGAATACCAAACAAGCCAGTGTGAAACACATTGAGCTCTTCCATTTCATACTCTGAATATCTGAGGAGGTAGCCCCATCTCTGAAGGAATCATTCTGTAATTTATAAACTATCTTCTTAAGAAACAGTGCATTCATTCCTGCTTGTGTGAAGCATGGGCTACATTAGACTGTCTCTATTATACTGATAGGGACATCTGGGTTGCCATTTCACTAAAAAGAGGAAAAACTTAGCTCCATTGCTGTGAAACACCCTCCTGTCCACCCTTCGAACAAGAGATTATCTATGGTGCTCACCAGGAAAAACAACTAAGCTTTGACACGAAGGCATGGAAATGTGGAGAAGAGAAATACTGTATTTTAAAACCATTTGTGAGTTCAAGCATTGGCTACAATGCTTTTTTAAGKAAAAAAACTTAAAGCTGTGGGTTTAGTACAGCCCTTTAAAATAAATGCAAAAATGTTAGCTTTTAGCAAACAAAGGCATACAGCAAATAAAGAAAATATTGTATTGCTTGAGTTTTTGGTAAAAGTATGTGAATAATGCTTACAGATAAAAAGAACAGAAACATTAATTTTTATGGCAGAGTGAAATTAGTATTGTAAGTAGTCAAAAAAGCCAGATGTTTGCTAGTGAACTTTGTATTTACGTAAAGTTGTGTGCTTGAACATATAAAATGCATTATTAATGTAGCATACCAAGCCAATAGAAAAAAGAATCTTTATACAATAGACAACAATTTCCAATAATTTAAATAGTGTTAGATTCCCCAAATTATAAGGTTTGACATGATCTTACCTACTACTATCATATACAAATAAATTAACCTACAAAGAATTTTTAGCTTAACTTAAAATTACACCTAGAAAGGTATGGGATTATTTGTACCTATTACAAAAACCGGTTAAAATCAAGGGCTGCTACAAAGAATGAGGTAAACTGAAGACTCTCTCCACTATGCAGCCTTCAGATAAATGGCTTTTTTTCTATTGAGTGAGTTCTAGGTTTGCACACCACAGTGTTTGCTAGCAAAGCATTCAGAGTTCTCTTCCAGGAACTGTTTGCATGTGTGCATATATAAATTTACACACACATACACACACACACACATATATACACACTGTATACTGCATCAGCAAAATATATATATTATATATATATTTATATAAATATAAGGAAGATTTTCCCCACCCACCCACCCCAAACAACATGTCTCTTAGTGTTTTGATTTTTTTTTCCTTTTCTTTTTGTACATAGAGATTAGGGAATTTCAGAATTTTTACATACATTTTAGCAAACACATTTTGATCTATTGGCTTCTCGGTGCAGTAATGCAACGGTAATCCGCTCTGGTGCCAAAGGCTCATACCATTACAAGGAAGTTGTGAACACTAATTTCTTAGGAGGTGAGGCCAGCCCCACATGAACTTCTTTTGCATCCCTCTGGTCCACCATGATTCATAAATACTTAAACTTTTTTTCTCAAATGAATCATTAGACGTTAAAAACGGAACAACAGAGTCACAAAGGGCCACATGCTTTTCAGTGTAAAGCATTCTCCTTCACTAGGTTGCTATCACAGTGCAGACTGACTGCCTGAATATGCTCAGGAGATTTAGTCATTATTGTCTGTATTTGGTTATGGAAAGGCTCTCAATTTTTTTTTTTTAATCCAAAGTGCATAGTGAGAACAAATCAAAGCATTTTTTCCTTTTCAGCATCAGTTTCACCTAAGCATTTTCCTATGAGAGGACTGCTCAGATGCCTTGTCTTTGTCCTCCCACCCTCTAAAAATAAAAATAAAAAATAAAATAAAATAAAAAATAATAGAGTCAAGCAGTTTAGACATTCATCAGCCTGGTAAACAAACTTTGCCAGCAAATAGAAGTCCTACTATTGTAAAGAAAATTGATAAGACAAAAAGTACATATGATGACCCAACTACTGTGTTGTTGGGTAATTTATAAGGTTGACCTCCGACTTCATTGATGTAAAATCCTATTGGAAATATTAGGGCAGCCATACAGAAAAGGATCACTGTAAAACAAACCAAAACACAACATTAGTAACATGGTTTGGTGATTATAAAAACAATGAAAATTTGGCACAAAAAAAGTTTATAGGAATTATAGATTGATAACAGGGTCAAACCTATTAATAACATGGACCATTTATCAAATACAGCAAAAGCTGAGTTAGCCCTTTATGAAAGTATATTAGGATGATTCTGAATTACCAGAAATAAGATGGATACTCTCCAAACTTACTAAGTACTCAATATCCTGTTCTTATCTATTTAAACTACTAATTAACTGGCTAGCCTAAGTTCTGACCCTACTACCTACCAACTATGCAATCTTAGGCCTCTGCTTTCCTTCTGAAATAGAGGGAAGTATCAGAAGGACAAATAAAATAACTTCAAGCCCCTGGCCAGTGTYAGGTTAACAGGATATACTGAATAAACATTACATACTATTATCATTACAGTTATTATTCTGCCAACTCTCTGCTCCTTGAGGTATTAGAAGGAACTGGAGATAAGGTACATAAAAATAAGTACCATTTATCTTATTCTGATTTTCAATCAGCTAGTAAAAGAACATCAGATCTTTGGGATGATTATCAAATTGTCAGCGTGGATATCTCTATCATGGACAAAGTTCCAAMAAATAAACTAAAATCTGGCAGAAAGCTTTCTATTATTAACTAAACAAGAAACCTTTTCCAAGTTAAACCTATTGCCAGAATACTGAGAGTGCCCTGGATAAATATATCATCCAGGAATGCTTGTCTAAGTATGTGGGGAGGGAACAGAATTTCATGAGTCCTTAAAAAACCAATTAGGAATCTTTTCCTGGATGGGATATCTCCAAGAATATATATTAAAAAGTAGCATTTGCTTAAGTAATATACCACTTAAGAAACACACCAGCACTCTGCTTTGTAMCACTTGGGTAGATAATTTTATATTGTATAAATAAGATTATTTCAACTTGGGTAAATGACTACACCAAAAAATATTACATAATTAAACTTCATGCATTATGATACCTACTACAGAACAACTGAACAATTCAGGCATTAACTTTTATTAGAGTTCTTGGTCTTTTTGTTGTACTGTTAACAATAAATAACTACTAATGCTGTCAATGCCCACTTACCACTGTTATCTGTCATCAATTTATAATGCTTCTTATGGCCTACTAGTTTGGTGAATAAAATGCAACCACAATCTAGGTATCTATACATAATCTAGTAAAAAACAGCAGGACAATTGTTTTAAAAACATTTTTTTTCCTTAATGTTGACTAACTCAAGAAACACACAATTTAGAAGAAAAGTGCTTCAGAGATCTACATATTAAATTTGTTGTTTCAACTAACGTTGCAACTTCATGCCTATCTTTTCCATTTTCCACTTTAAAATCAAAATTTACCCTTATAAGTACTCATTTAATGGCTACCAGCAGAATTTAGCATTTTCAAGAGTTAAAATTTTCCAAATTACTACAGAAACTTAATAAAATTTTAAGGAAGCAATGAACTCCTATTCAATTGAACCTTGGTTTTCAATCCTATGAATCAGGTTCCTTATAATGCCTGGGGACCAGCTTTAATGTAAATTGATGAATTTTTTTTAAGCTACTAAGAACTTTGAAGTTACTTAAATCTTAACATTATTATTAACACTGATAATATCTATCACCTAAAGCTTATGAAGACATAATTTCATATCTTCCAAGGCATAGAATCTCTGGTGGTGGGAATGAGAAATCAGGGATCCTGGCAGTTGAGGTGGTAAATCAGGGCAGCAAAGGAAAGAGCAGTATCAGACTTGAAGAGGAGGACTATCTTTGTTTTTCTTGCCCTCAAGCAAGGCTCATCATGTGGGGCTCATCATGTGAGGAGACATACATCYTCACTGCACACAGGCATCAGAAAGTGTTAACCTTCCATTATTACAAAAACTACAGCCTTCACTGGAATAGAAGTACATACATTAGAGATAAAGTACGTCCACAATGGCTGCAAGGGAACACTAGGGGGAGCCCAATTCCTCTCAGAACTGCCACCCCAGCTCACTAGCTCCGCTACTGGAAAAAAATGCATTAAAGGAAGGTAAGAAGAGCAAGGCAGCTCTATACCCACTTAAAGGAAAATAACTCCCAAGATCTATTAAACTAAAAACCAGAAGTATAGTATAATGTGTGAACATTTTTATATAAATATATATGTAAAGAACACACACACATGCATGTATGTTTCTATGTACAGAATGCTTCTAGTAGGAAAATTCACAAACTGGTAACAGTGATCACCTCCAGGAAAGAGGTTACCAGGTCCCTGAGTGACAGGACAAAAAACTTCACTCGGTTACCCTTTCACTGACTGAATTATGTAGCATGTGCATATATAATTTCAAAAAGTTAGATTATTTAACTAAAAAAGATTCATTGCATTGGGGAATAACTACACATACTTAAATATTCTCTGCCGGAAGGCAGTAAAAAATAAACATAATCTTACATTTACATCAGGCAAACTAATAGCTCATGTGAGCATATTAGTGCTTTCTTTGCTTCATACAACTTTTCTAAATTATAGTTTAGATTTTTGGTATTCTGAGCATATATCCTCCCAACTTTCAACTAACTGYTGAAACTAAACCTTTCTTTGGTATTATTTTACTCCCAAAGAGTGAATTCTATCTGCATAAATGGTTCTATCTTTGAGGAAAACACAAAAAACAAACAAACAAACAAAAGAACCCTGTCTTCTCTTTAAATTCCTCATAAATATTTTCAAACTTAAAAATGAAATTTAAATTTAAAATTTTAAATTTCAGCAGCCTGATCTCCACAACTGCTTCTGGCCCTTACTCTTAGACAAGAACTATCTCTGGAGGTCTCTTTGAATTGTGTCACATTGATTAACAAGAGTGGAGAAGCTTTTGGGTTTTTAAAATTTTTTTAATGTCAAAGGCAATTTGCTTGATCTACATCTAAAATTAAGGGCAGTGGAGAGTGGAAAGACTAAAATAAAAAACAAAGCCAGAAAAATAAAGAGAAAGTTTCACCAAAAGTTAGGGAGAAACAGAGAAATGAAGGAATATCACTATCCTACAGCCTTAAAGATAGTTTTAACTGAGTTTTACCATGAATAGGGATCCTTGAGATTATCTCTTACTCTAATCACCCTAGTTCTAAATAATGATATAACATGAAATGAGCAGTTTTAACAGACATTTTTAGAAACTTATACAAACCTGAGATGATTTTAAGACACTGAATTAGAAGTGAAGTATCAATGTTTGGCACAGGTATTGCCATCCCATTTCTTTAAGGCAGGTTTTCTCAATAGTGGGACTGCTGCCATTTGGGGCTAGAGAATTCTCTGTAGCTGGGGGTGCTGTCCTGTAGGTTTGTAGTTTAGCAGCATCYTGGTCTCTACACACTAGATGCCAGCAGCACCCCCTAGTTGTGACTATCAAAAGTATTTTTAGGCATTGCCAAATGTCTCCTGGAGTGCAAACATGCTTTAGAGGGAAAGAAATAAGAAAGCAAAATTATAGAAGTAACTTTTCTTTGTGCATTTGTTTTCAACTTGGGATAAGCCTCTGATGTGTTTTGAAATAAAACCAATTTTTCAAAGTATAAGAGAATGTATAATATATAATTTTATCACACCAATGGGCATAGCTTAATAGAGTAAGAAATGTTGGTAAACAATCATAAATAACCAAATGTGCTGATTTTCCAATGGTTATACAATACACAGCAGAAATTCAATGATATTAAATAGCAAATAACCACTTTTATCTAGTCTATGTTTTTATAGTTCTTCTAGATTTATCTTTATTTTGATAGAAGATACCAAAACCATCAAGAGGAAAAGACTCAAGCTTTGGTAGCTCTGAGTCACAGACCTGGAATRCTTATGTCACATGTAAACAAAAATAAGATTCATCAAACTTGCATTGCATACAAGGCAATTAAAGTTGTGGATGTCCTGGTCTTGTTGTAAGAGTTTTGAAGAACTGATAGGACTGTGGAGAATCTGTCTCAAGGCCATATGCAAGTGTTGCTCTCTGATGATTACTGAGTCCTTATTATTRATTCTTGATTATCTTCATAAAAATACTACTGTGCGCACCTTCTAGACAACTTAGTAAGCACAGGCTACTTACTTCCAGTGAATGCTATCCAYCGAGCATATTTTGTAGCTTCTCTTCGCCAGTGGGAAGCCACCAGCAAACCACATGTGACAGTCAATGAAATGATTCCCATGATGATAAAAAACAGTGTGGTGACCCACTCTGGGGGCAGCCGAGGAGGGATGCACGTCCGGTCTCGTCCATGGATTGTTTGACACTGTCGCACTAGCCCCACAGTGAGTGCTCCTGGGAAGAAGCAAAAGGTGGGGATACATTAGTGGGTCTGGTAAGCAGGGGATATTCCCTTCTCCCACCCTTTGGTCCTTTGGGTGAATTAATTACAGAAACATATATCTCTACATACAGACATATATCTCTGAATATGTCACCCAAGTACTTAATTCCCTAGTCATTCATAATGTAGACATGCCCGGCTTGACATACAAACAAACAAACAAAAAACCCCAAATTGAAAAACTTTGCCRAAGTTTTTGTAGCTTGTTCTGTCATTCATTCAACAATTTTCTGAGTACATGTATAAGGCACTGCCCTAGGCTCTCAGGAAAAAAGAGTGATCGATATAGATGAGGTCCCTCTCCTATGGAGCTTGCATACTAGCAAAAAGAACTGRAATTTTTCTATCCCCAGTTTCAAGACTCATTGCATATTACTTTATTTTGGTTGAGGAAAAAATACTAATATGTTTAATCATAATATATAAATAAAATTAAATAATGGATTAAATATTCAAAGTGATAATATATATCAAAGTYAAAGGATCCAGCTCATCAATTTTTAAACAATGTATACATATTCATATTGTCAAACTATTACTGGCATGCTTAACAGAAAAGAACAAAGAGGGTTAGGGATGTAGCTCAGTGGTAGAGTGCTTGCCTTTTTGCACAAGGATCTAGGTTTGATCCCAGTACTAAAAAGAAAAAGGAGAAGAATAAAAGAATAAAGACTCATTATGAAGGTAATTTTTAAAGTGTCCTCCTCCTTATTTAAATAACATGAAAGTGGGGGCTAGRGTTATAGCTCAGTTGTAGAGTACTTGCCTAGCATGCACAAGGCCCTGGGTTCAATTCCTAGCACTACCCAGATAGATAGATAGACAGACAGACAGACAGATAGATAGATAAAATGAAAGTAAGTTTTGTAAGATATCAAGTACTCTTTTTCCATCTCATGTCAAACCCAGGAACCCTATCAAATCTGGGGTGAATTAACTACAGAAATCCAGGAAGGTGCAAGAGTAACCTTTACTCCTTTTCCTCACAAGAATAATGATTAAAATGTTACTTCTGAATAAAAACTGCTGTTTCCCCCTTTGAAGAACAACTGCAAATGGTAAAACAGTTACCAAAAAATCAAGGGCAGAAATTTCTAGAGCCAGTAGAAAACACAATAGATTTCTGCATGGGGTGGGGCAGGCAAGGATTCTTTTTTGRTCACATTGTTTTCTCAAAATGAACACATTGACCTCAATATCATTACACTTGTCTTTTAGAAGGGCAGTCAGTTACACCCCTGGAAGCTTCCAGGAGAAGCAGAGGGGGCTGGAGCTATGTGTAGATGCATGGGTGGTAGGTGGGGCTGTTGGTGGAAGGTGCTTTGGGCAACTTAAGTGTTGAGAGCCACAGCCGAAAGGGGCCCCAGCAAACTTCCAGCTGCCAGCTGATGATTGGCTCACAGCGGCCCAGCAAACTTCTAGCTGCCAACTGATTGGCTCCTCTGCGGTGATGCTCATTGGGCTGTTTCCCCGCCCTTTCAGACCACGGAGCTGCTCACTGGGGGACTTTTTTTGGCTCTGCCCATGGGACCCAGCCAATCAGCCTCAAGAGCAGGAGGAGTGGGGGAGGTGGAGAGGCTTGTGGGAAGCTGGTGGTGGCAGTTGGGCTCTGAAGGTTTTTTCCTGAGGAGCTGTGTGGTTTGGTGTGTGTGTTCTAAAAATAAAGTTCGTTTCTTTTGACAAGTGGCTCCTGAATTGTTGTGCAACTTAAGTTTTGCCACTGATACATTTTTAGAAATAAAGCAATGTGTTGAAAGAAAATGAAGCAAGAAATCAGTTCTGCTCTTAAAATTGAAGGCCTCCCCCCATTTAATGCTAACTTTATCTGACTATAACTTGAGTGGAAGCAGATAATCAATTTGTACTTTCCTTCCAAATCATCTAATAATTAGGCCCACCTAATGATCCCTGCACTGGTGCAAACAACACTGTAATTATCACAGGCAGGATGGAGACAGTCAAGGGACAAAGAAAGCAAACCTTCACAATAATGCCATCCACAATGYCCCAGATACTTGGAGCTGAGTGATGTCATAGGCCCAAAAGAAGCTTGTCGAGTGAAAATATTTTGATATTATTGCTACCTTTTGAAGTCTCCTGGTAATTGTTTGAAACCAGAAGAAGGGATGGGGCAGGAATAAGTAGGCACCAGGAGAGTTGCACGACTGTCTGTAAACTGAAGCACTAAAAAGTTTCCAAGCAAAGATTACTTGGGGAAAAGAAATGTCTTTACTATAATAAAACATTTTATTGTAATTTTAGAAGGAAGAAATTTGCAGCAGTGCCTCAGAACTCCTAATAAGAAACTATTCCTGGAAAAAAAAAAAGACTTCTAACAAATTATTCTCTTGTACTCATTGTTCCATTTTAAAAAGCTGTAATTGCTATAAGAATAAACTAAAGGCAATGAAAGATCCTCTGACAAAGTACAGTATTGTGGAGTACTATTATAGAAGCAACTTTGTTCACAATTTAACATATATTAGTAACTCTACATATCTACTGAAATTATTAGATTTACTTTTTTTTTTTTTTTTTTTTGGTTCTTTATCACTGGGCCGTACCCTCAGTCCTTTTTGTTTGAGGAAGGTTTCACTAAGCTGCTGAGGCTGGCCTTGAACTTAAAATCCTCCTGCCTCAGTTTCGCAAGTGGTTGAGAWAACAAGCACGTACAACTGCACCTGGCTAGATTCACAAGAGAATTATTTGTGGTCGGTAAATATTAAAAGCTGTAGGTCCAGTAAATCATAACTAAAATATCTCTTCTTAAAAATATTTCTTAGTATCCTATGTTGCCTCTCTTATTCCGGCTATGGACAAAAGTGAGCAGGATTAAGGATGAAATTGAACTTAACCTTGTATGTCTGCTGACCACTGAGCTTCCTTAAAACTGCTTTTACTCTCCTGCCTTGCATGGCACACCAAATGAATATAAACAGAACAAGTAAAAAAATGAAAGTTACTGCTATACTTTCTACAGACTAACTGGAAATATCCTGAGAGATGTTTAGCCTTTAAAAAAAGCTGACTATGCTCCTATATTTATAAAATTCCTTATCACAACAAATGAAGACTAGAATTCAGCAGCTCTGTTCTGAAGAAAGGAAAATTAATTCTAATTGACAATCAGCAGGTATACTGTGTATATGAAAATCAATACAGAAATATTTTATTGTGAGCTGGTGGTGTAGCTCAGTGGTAGAGCATGTGCTTAGCATGCTTTAGTCCTTGGGTTCAGTCCCTAGCACCAAATRCAGATAGTATTTCTGAGTGTCTCTCTTATGCTTGGCACTATTGTAGTAATCAGAGATTCCAGAACTAATATGCTGTCACATTCTTGGTGAAAACAGATGTCTCTTAAATATATTACAAACAGAGTAAACAGTGGTCTGTCAACAGTATTGTTAAAATTCATTTTCTAGAGTGAGAGTCTAAGTCAATAAAACTTATGCYGTAGTCATATATTTTCCCTGGATAATTAATTGGAGGATTCTGTAAGGGTAATTGTGTCACTACCATTACATTTTAAAAATTCAGGTACTGTTAGTAACCAAATTTTCACCAGGTCTTTTTTTGGTGGGAAGGAGGGAGCATCAGAGATTTTACCCCCAGGGATGCTTAACCACTAAGTTATATCCTCAGCTCTTTTTTATTTTGAGACAGGATCTTGCAAAATTGCTTACAGCCTTGCTAAGTTGCTGAGGCTGGTTTTGAACTCATGATAGTTTCRAATTTTCATAGTTAAGTGACAGATTTGAATCTACGGGCAGGAGATAGTCAAGTCAATTATACTTCCTCCAAATTCTCTTAACACATTAGTCTGTATCACAGACATGTACTTGATTTTAAAAGGCTGCTGCTGCTACTTATATTTTAAATAATTTTTTAAATATTTTGATGGATATTGATGGGCCTTTATTCATTTATTTATATGCARTGCTAAGAATTGAACCCAGTGCCTCACACATGCTAGGCAAGTGCTCTACCACTGAGCTACAACTCCAATCCSTGCTGCTTATTTTTTGAAGGGTGCTGGGGATGGAACCCAGAACCTCCCACTAAGCATGTGCTCTACCACTGAGCTACACACCCCTATCCCCAAAGGTACCTTTGTTTTATCCCAAATAGGATATGAACTTTTCAGAGGAGGTTACTTCACCTTCTACTTCACTGGAACCTCAAAATGGCAGGCGGAAGTGGGCATGAGACTGGCTTTAAAAAGTATTTGGTGGCTTTACACTGATTAGGTTACTCAGTGTGGTTTCTTGAAGAATACTTGGTAAGCACAAGCTAACTTTTGTTTTATCCAACAATTTTTTTTTTTTTTTTTTTTTTGCCTCTGGAAGGAGCCTGTAATTCCTTTCCTCAAACAACCAATCTATCTTTGCCCAGCAGCAGTTTCCTAGGTAACCAATCCAGCCAAATAAAAGTCTTATAAGCAATAGAAAAAAGGAAACCAAACTAGGAACCCACCCCACAACCACACGTGCCTCACAGGATCTCACCTGTGTATCATCACATACAAAAGGGAAAGTCATAATGAGTCATTAAGTGGGGCATTTTAACTAAAGTGGCTTTTGACACTCATCATCTATAGTAGACACTGCTGAAATGACTTAGCACAGCCAGTCTAAGCATGCCTGCTGGCACAGCGAGAATGATTATAAGGCATGTTATCAGTGCATGAAAAGCAGTGTCACCGAAAATCTGTAACCTAGGGATTATAAAGCAGAAGCATATGCCTACCAGAACCTGTCAAGGGCAAATCCTGTGAAGGACTTGCCAACCTGGCCACAGAGGGATTCCCCATATAGGGTTGGACCCAAGCAAAAGGGATGAAGTTAAAATTTGTGATTGGGTTCAGGGTATAGCTCAGCAACACAGCGTGTGTTCAGTGTTCAGCATGCTCGAAGCCCTAGGTTCATCCCCAGCACCAAAATTTTAAAAATTA